GAGCAGGGGCGAGTGGGTCTGTTCGCGCCTCCCCAAGGCCGGCGGCTACAGACTCGCCGCTCTAAGCCGGCTCGCAGGATGCCTCTCACCACTCCAGCTCGCCAAGTGCGCCGGAGAGAGCGAAGCGACACTTGTGGAATGAAGCGAGGGCAGGAGGGAAGGGGGAGGGGGAGGAGGGCGGGCAGAGGAGGCGCGAGGGGGGAGGGGGCGGGCTCGAGAGGGGCGGGGGCGCGGGAGAGGTGACTCGGGCGGGCGGGAGCCAGTTGGGGGGCGTGCAGAGCTGAACCAGTCTGGCGGGCGGAGAGGAGGAAGCTCCGGCAGCCGCCGAGGCTGAAGGCACAGCTCGGATTTCCCGGCAGGTGGAGGACGGCGGCGGGACCTCCCGCGCCCTCTCTGGGCGGGAGCCGCGGCTCAGACCTGTTCAGGGCGCAGAGGCGGCTCCGCCCGTGGCTTCTTCCCTGGAGCGTGCGCAGGAACTGCGGCTCCAGTCGGCCCACCAGGGAAGGGGTGACATGGAGGGTTTAGGGGCAGACTAGGTGGCTTCCACTCCAAGGCAGACTGAGGCGCAGTCTGATCAGGATCGCTCCTCCCAGGTGTGCGGGCCCGCCTTGCCCTTTCCCCGACTGTGCCCTTTAGCCAGAGGCGCCACCCTGCTGGCTCAACTCCCTGGACCCAGGGGGGGACCAAGGTTGAGCTGGGGGTGGCAAGCGCCTGGGCCCGGGGTAAGCACCCCCCGGGAGAGGGGCTAGGGATGAAATAAGTCACAGAAGTGCAGGGGCAAGGAGAGGCAACGGTCAAGGCGGAGGACGAGACAATGACCTGTACCAGAGGGCCTTTGGTTGGGACTCTCCCAGGCCCCTGGACCTGCTACTTTCTGTCCCTCTTTGCCCTCATCTCCTTCCCTGCGCTCCACAGGAGGGCTCACCGCGGCGCCGCCTCTGCGCGCCCACATCTGGTGCAGCGCCAAGGCCTGGGCGCCCATCCTTAGCCGCCCTCCGGTACCTGGAGTCCGCGGGCATCGGTCTCCGAAGCTGGCTGGCCCCTGTACCCGCTGAGCACCCCCGGACATCCTCACCCGGAGCTGCCGAGCCCGATCTTGCTTCCTCGGCTTCCAGACTCCCGTCGCCCGTCAGCGTTTCCAAATCTGCCCTCTCTCAAATCAGCCGATTCCAGCCATCCTCCGGCCCGCTCCCATTTCTCCCACTACTTCCTCTCCTCGGCTTGAATTTGACTCCAGTAGCCCCCAAAACAGGATTTGTACTAAAGCTGCTACACCAAATTTAGATCCCTACCCGCCCCTGCGTTTTGTTTTTTAATTGCATTAACCAAGTATACACTTTGCAGTCGGCTAGGGGATTTGCAGGGAAATGATGTTTCCACCACCCTCCTCTCCATTTGGCTGCAGTCAAGGGCTTCTCCGGGCATTTTCAAAGAACGAAGAGATTGGGCCACATATAAACTGACATACTGGGGGAGGGGAGCTTAATTGAAAAAAGCATGGGGAGTTTTATTGGGACTCCATGGGCAAGCTTTCTCAGAATGAGAGGGATTTTGGCTAATTGTGCCTTCTCTTTGAAGAACTGGTCACCCACTGTCTCCCCAAAGACTTGCAGAGAATGACCCTATTCCAATAAAAACACACCAGGGTAATATTGACAGAGCATGTCCAGGGTGTACCAGCCCTGCAAGACTCACTGAATTATGGACTGCATTACGTCCCAAACCCACCGACAGAAGGTGGGAGATTGTGTTGCTGAACTCATCGGATTCATCAAATGGGATCCCCAGAACAAGACAGTGTGGTATTCTTGTCCACCCACACCCACCACCACTGTGTGAGTCTCCAAACACAAGCACTGGTGTGTGAGGGCTGGATCTAGCTGACATTTATTCAGTGCTTGTAACATACCCACTAAGCTTAGTTGTTCTAAAAATCACCTCCTCACGCATGCTTAGAGCAGTGCCTAACATCTAGCAGACCATCTGGAAATACTTGCTGAGCCATTGAGTGACAAATCTCATTTAACTCTACCCATTAGGTAATCTCATCAAGTCCACACAGTAGAGGGAGAGACTGAGGCCCAAAGCAATTAAGCCAGGTGCCCAGGGTAGCTAGGCAAGGAAGTACTGCTATTGGCATTTGACCCAAGAAATTTGACTCAGGAGCCTGTGTTCTAATCACTGTAGGTAGTGCCTTCCTAAAATAGGCCTGCAGACTCTCCATCCACCTGACATTATATTATGTATTTGTTTTCAGTCTGTCTTCCCACATTGAAATGTAAACTCCAGGGCAGAAAAGGCCCTGACTCTTCCAGAGTCCCAGCACCTAAAACAATTTGGATTTGGGAAGCACTCAAAAAATATGTACAGGCTCTTTTAATGAGCTCTTTAAAGTCTTTTATGCAAGACCCTGTCTTAAACTAAGAGAGGAAAGGAACACTTAGGGCTGAGACAGACATGCAGATGGGGCTGGGATACACACAATTTCAGAATTGGAAAGGGCTGCTCCAGCAAGTTTGCTACAGTCCAGGAAGCTGAGGCTCAGAGAGGTTCAGGGCGTTGTCCAAGGTCAGACAGCCAGCAAATGGGAAAGCTGGTTGCAGACTGCTGGTCTCCTAGTCTCAGGTCTCCTGCCATCCTACCCCACTGCACCCCGTGTGACGCTTCCCAGTAAGCATCAGGGCTGAGAGCTGTGAGCAATGACCCCATAGAAGGATAGGTCACAGACACCTTCCTGCAAGAGTTGAAGGATTTGAGGCAGTTCTAAATTTGATTTTAAAAAGAAAAGAAAAATCTTAGCGAAAAGAGATAAAATCTAGACAGAAAAGTCCATTTCAGAATCTGCCCCCCATCTCTGTAAAATACTGCCTGTCACCGGGACATTTGAGTCGAGTCCTCAGAGGAGACTGGCTCTGAGCTGCTGCTCCCGGCTTTAATTAACAGATACTGCCCCCTGTTTGTGACAAGGAGAGTGCAGGGATCTGGCTTTGGAAAGAAGCAGACCTGATTTACTCTGTGTGGCTTACTTACCAGATTCCAAACCTGAATCCCCGTGAGCTTTGCCCAAACCAAACTCCCTTCCTGCTCCCAGTAGCTGCCAAAGCCCCTTCAAATACTGCATGAGCCTATGTCTAAAGTATTTGAAAAATATTTAGGAGAGAAAAGAATCAGCGTTTGGTTCATTTCACTCTACAAAGGAAAAACGCTGATTTCCTCTGGGTATGTCAGGTCAGTAAATAGAATCACTGCTTCCTACTAGATGTGTGATTATTGGGAACACACTCCCATTTGGAACCTGTGATTGAGAAGGTATTCCTTTCAGGGCTTCTGGGGGTGGGGGGGGGACATTTATAAACTTCCTAATTAAAACACCCGCAAGTGTTAATGGAAGATGAAAAATTGTCATCAAATGCCACCCCCCACCACTATCCAAATGAATTCATGCAAATGTGTTGAAATTAAAATGCAGCTCTTAATGAAAGTGCTTTCTATGAAAGAGATGATGACTTTATTATTTACAAGACAGGGGCTTTTAATACCTAAAGAAGAATCTCATTTGCTCTAACCTTAATTATGTCTGACTGCAGTGCACAAGGCATGGAGAATGCAATTGTACTCCCCAACAATTAGGGGAGGGAGCGATGTAACAAAGGATGTTTGCTTACCAGGACTTACAACCAACGTCCAGAAGCAGCTCAACAAATTAGATTATTTGTGCTGTGGCCCTCACTCAAAGGAGCTTTTGGTTAATTGTCCTCATCAGGTGGCTTTTGGGGCTTCCAAGAGGTTTCTAAGCAACTGTTAGCCTTGAGGGAAAAAAAAGAGTTGAAACAGAAACTGTTGGTTTATAACCTCAGGGAGCTTCTCGGGTGATAATGGAAACTGGTCCGTCTCAGGAGAGAGACGAAAGAAAAAAGCAGCCACTTCAGATTGGCAGGATTAATAAGCAAGGGAACTTACAGGTGAGTTTGTCTTGGGTGATGGCTGCAAGAGGAGTAGACCTCTGCACCCATTTACCAGGATCTTAACAGTTTGTTTAGACTTTTCGTCCTTGAAACAGCTTCTAGTGCAAGAATGGTGAGTGGAATGAACGTATGCATATTTCAAGGACAGAGGAGGGAGCAAGGAGCCTCTGACTGCCCTGATCCAGCTGGCGGGTGGTAGGTGGTCATGTCCTCTCTATGACCTTCCCCAACAGAAGCCAAAATGTAGCTAACACCTTGCCATGTTCAAGCAACACACTGATTTGATATATTTTATTCCCTTGTTCCAAAAAGGTAAGGAAAGCCTTATAGAAGAAGCGACGTGAAAAAAAAAAGCAGCAGCAGCGACGTGGGTCTACAGTATAGTTCTCTCACAGACTGGAGGTGGTGTGTGAGATGATTTTGGGTAGTACCCAACAAAGGTTTTTTTTATTAGTTTTATATTTATTGCAATGTGTATCGGGGGAAAAAATAATGACATGTCAAACACATGGCTTAAACGTTTAAGGTGTAGTTAATTCTTTTAGGTGTATCCATTTAAAGTCCATTTTAAAAAAAGAGAAAAATACATGATAGTATTTATTAATGTAATACAAACAAAAGAATATAAAGTAGCTGGTACTGAAAACCCAAGTTTAGGAAACTTGGGCTTTGGTATCAGAGTGGGGTTTCTCAACCTCAGCCTCGCTGACGTTTTGGAGTGATGAGTTAACTCTTTGCCGTGGGGGCCATCCTGTAGGATGTTTCATCCCTGGCCCCTACCCATTAGATGCCAGCAGCATCTCCCGGTCATGACAACCAAAAACTGTGGATAAAATAGCCCCTGGGGGCAAAATTGACCCACTAGCCTATGAGGTTTATGACCTTGAAAAAGTCACTTAGCCCCTCCAAGCCTGTTTCCTCATCTATAAGATGAGGATAAGAATGGTGCCTCTGCCCAGGTGTGTTACAGACACTCCAGACCTCCTGTACAGGGCTCAGCACAGTGAATGAAACC